TAACTGTAAATATTCAGCAGCTTAGTTTGCACACAACCACTTCATTTATCCAATGGCATTCTAGACTCACAGCGCTTCATTCTACATGTTGCATGATTATACAGAAACCTTAGCAGCGACCTCACCAACTGCAAAATACCAGCTCAGAGTCAGTGTAATGCCCTGCTTCCTTTTTCTTTAGTTTTATGAAGGCTTCTTGAAAAACATGGTTTCCAGTTTCAAACAGTTCTTTCCCCTCCAGATTATACTTTTACAGGCATTTGCTGAATTGCAAATCTTTGCAAGGGGACAAACTCTGAATGTCTAAATCACTCCTTCTCTAAATTTCAAGTCAACTGGCATTTTAGCTCAAAATTTATATACTTAACATAATGAAAGCAGGTAAGTAGAATAAACATCGCACCCAAATGAAACTGCATACACATAAATATTTAAATCAGTGACATGTGTAAATACATTTTTCATATTTTCCCTAAGTCATCCTTTGTATATTTGAATTCACTTACAAATGGCCTGTCATTAGCAGACATTGAATTAGGTGCAAGCATTTTATCACAGTAGGGAGATGCATGAGCAGGCATAAATTTCACCCCTTAACAAGCAGAATATGCAATTTAATTTGATCAAGAATAATTAAATTTGTATAAATTCAAGAAATTTATTCCACAGGGGATAAAACTTCAATAGGTGAGGTACATGTAAATAAGTATTTTTACATTCGAGTGAGAGAAACACATCATGCCTTGATTAAGTCAGAGCAGTCAGAGCTGCTACCTGAAAGAAACTTCAAGGACCTGATTCTGAAGCTCTTCCTGATGCAAAACACCCATTGTCTTTGGTGAGAGCTTTGCTTTCTATGAGTAAGGAAGGCAGTGGGGAGACCAACTTACTTAGAATGAAAATAAAGATACATGCGATGTATTTTATGGTCAGGACCCAAGCTCCTGCTTCAAACTGATCCAGTCCCACATGGCTGTGCTTAGAAACTTATTCTAAATTATAAGTGACCATGAAAAAAAAAGTGTGACTACTTTATGGAAAAGGAGTTGAATGAGGGACTATGCAGAGATCCCAGTTCCGCCACATCCTGTGTTCCAGATGCTCTTCTTTTCATAAAGACTTTGTGTTTGAGATTGATTCGTGATTGTCACTACCAGAAACCAAATTCCTCTATCAGCAACATATTTATAGTGATGCCAATTTCCATCTACGCTCCTGTCAACAACCCTGACCGAGCTGGAGAGATGCCTCTCCTTGGAGGTAAATGGAGAGGAAACCTGATACATCCTCTGTCTGCTGGGCTGCCACCAGGAGTGAAACGTGATAGCAATTCTTGCCGTGGGGGCACCTAGTACTCCAGCCAACTAACTCATCTGCCATGGGCACCCTAACAGCTGTCATTTGGTAAAAAAAAAAAAAAAAGTAATTTAAAAAACCACCATTACTTTGTTTCAAAAAAAGACTAGAGATATACCCTCATTTCCCATTTCCCACTCAAGACCTAAATCCTCTCTATGACTTAGCTATGCCCAAACTAATCACACCCAGTTTAGGACCTCAAGGAAGGGGTGAAGCCACCAGCCCTGGCCCGGGCCTTATGGTCTCAAGAAATTTTTAACTGTTTGTGAGAAGCAGTGTCTCATCACACACTTCAAGAAGTCCTCTCTGTGTTTACCACAAGCCAGAATGACAGAACTAGATGGAAATAATTACAAAAGCAAGTGAGGTCCAGGGAACCTAGCACATCGTAAATTCTTTTATGCAGGACAGGATGCCAAAGATATGTGGGGCTTCATTAACTTTTGTACTATTAAACTCAGGAAAACAAAAAAAAAAACAAACCCAAAACAACAACTGGTCAGTTGGAAGCCAAGCCACACTATTGAGTCTCAAAGTTTTTCTCCTTTGTGAAGAAATGTAAAGAGACAAATAACTGCAGCAATCCAAGGCAGCATCTTTTTCTGGGGTAACAATTTTGAAACAAATTTGGTCAATTAAAAAAAAAAAATTATTATCAACTAAAAAACAAAGCCTCCCGATACAACCCTGACAGCTACTTGCACACAGCCCACCGAAAACCTCACCCTTCCCTCCCCCTCGCTCAGACTGGTGCCGGTAAACCCGGGGTGGGGGGCACTGCTGGTGCCCCAGGGGGTGGCAGGGGAGCCCCGGGAGGGTGGGCATCGCTGTAGCCCGCGCTGGAGGGAGAACACGAAGCAGAGAACATCTGGAAATGAGCCCCCCAGTTCAATTTCTGGAAAAAAAGATCAGCTGTTGAAAAAGACAAAAAAAAAAAAAAGCGCA